ACTGTCACGGAATGCCAGGAGGAAACAAGGTAAGTTCCATGTGCAGTTTATTGAAAATAATAACAGGACAAAACAGAACAAAACGTTGCAAAAGGTAATCCAAAACCTGACACCGACAACACCAACTAAGAAGACAATACAATCCAGACGCAAATGACAGACAGAGAAGGCATGATATATATAGCTGGGTTAATGATGAACAGGTGTTACCGATTAAACCAGGATTAGTGAGCAGGGGACTATGGGAAATGGAGTTTAACACCAACAACGAAAACAAAAGAGCGCCCTCAAGTGACCAGTCCAGGTCACCACAACAAACACTGTGACATTACCCCCCCTCTACGGAGCGGATACCAGACGCTCCATCAGAACACAAAAGTTCAGGAGGGAGGTGGAATAGAGGCGGACCAGGGGGAGGGATCGCGGGCCAGGACCAAACAATGGAAGAGGACCAGGGAACAGAGATAGACTAAGGCATGAGCACAGAACCGGCAGGGTGAAAGGCCAAGGCGGGACCGGCAGGATGGACCAGCAAGACCCCAACCACACAGGACTCCCAGCAGATGGCCAGGATGGAGCCAGAGGAGTGAGCCAGTGAGGCTCCTGCCATACCACAACCCAGGCGGGCAACCAGGATGGAGCCAGAATCCTGTCAGGCCACATTGGTGGGACCGAAATCCCTCTCAGCAACTCAGGAGTACCTGAAAAGAAGAGCAGAGGGAGTTTAGTCTCGGCGGACTCTGTGGAATCCCGGAACGGAGCGGACTCTGTGGGCTCCCAGAACAAAGCGGACTCTGGAGTGGGCTCTGTGAGCTCCGGGACTGGAGCAGGCTCTGGACTGGGCTCTGTGGGCTCCCGGACTGGAGCGGGCTCTGGACTGGGCTCTGTGGGCTCCCGGACTGGAGCGGGCTCTGAAGTGGGCTCTGTGGAATCCGGGACTGGAGCGGACTCTGGACTGGGCTCTGTGAGCTCCGGGACTGGAGCGGGCTCTGGAGTGGGCTCTGGAGTGGGCTCCGGGACTGGAGCGGGCTCTGGAGTGGGCTCTGTGGGCTCCAGGACTGGAGCGGGCTCTGAAGTGGGCTCTGTGGAATCCGGGACTGGAGCAGACTCTGGACTGGGCTCTGTGAGCTCTGGGACTGGAGCGGGCTCTGTGAGCTCCGGGACTGGAGCGGGCTCTGGAGTGGGCTCTGTGGGCTCCGGGACTGGAGAGGGCTCTGGACTAGGCTCTGTGAGCTCCCGGACTGGAGCGGGCTCTGGATTGGGCTCTGTGAGCTCCGGGAGTGGAGCGGGCTCTGGACTGGGCTCTGTGAAATCCGGGACTGGAGAGGACCCGGGACTGGGCTCTGTGAAATCCGGGACTGGAGCGGACTCGGGACTGGGCTCTGTGAAATCCGGGACTGGAGCGGACCCTGGACTGGGCTCTGTGAACTCCCGGACTGGAGCGGGCTGTGGAGTGTGTTTTCCTGTCCTCCTTCTCACCCTCCGCCGCTTAGTGGGAGTCTGAAGGACAGAGGTGGTGAGCTCCCGGACTGGAGCGGGCTGTGGAGTGTGTTTTCCTGTCCTCCTTCTCACCCTCCGCCGCTTAGTGGGAGTCTGAAGGACAGAGGTGGTGAGCTCCCGGACTGGAGCGGGCTGTGGAGTGTGTTTTCCTGTCCTCCTTCTCACCCTCCGCCGCTTAGTGGGAGTCTGAAGGACAGAGGTGGTGAGCTCCCGGACTGGAGCGGGCTCTGGACTGGGCTCTGCGAAATCAGGGACTGGAGCGGACTCTGGACTGGGCCCTGTGAGCTCCGAGACTGGAGCGGGCTCTGGACTGGGCTCTGCGAAATCAGGGACTGGAGCGGACTCTGGACTGGGCCCTGTGAGCTCCGAGACTGGAGCGGGCTCTGGACTGGGCTCT